GAGTGAACTACGACCTCGGGTGAACTCACTGTACCATCGATAAACACTGGCCCTGGATGGGGCTTCATCACCAAATATTGAATTAAGTTCATCCATGCATTGCTGTTGAGTTAGTCCACGTCGAAAGTTGTAGAAAATAATCGCGCGAAAATGCTCACGATCCAACCCCATGACTTGGCCTATACAAAATCTTATAACTTAGTGTAAACAACACAAATCGCGCTCAAATTTTGCAACGTAACCTCAAAATAGTCAAACTTTACGATAGTGGTGTCAGTTGTTAGATTGCTACACTAGTGTTGCCAAATCTCAAAATATAAAAGGCAACCCTCGTATTGGTTGCGATTCTTTGTGAGAATTCCTCGCTACAGGACTGTTCTTTTCCCCTGATTGCATTTATAGTTTCTTTGATGCCACAACGATCTGATTCTTGTTTCCTCGCCATAATCTCAGGCTCAAATTCCCGCCGAGAAGACTTAAGAACTATTTCTACTGAGGAGGAGTCTCTTATATTTGAATCGCAGTTGACGATGAAAATGGTTCCTGAGACTCCCTTATAGTATGAATTCGAAGCTCCTCCTTACTCCATACCTGTCGTTATAAGGGCGAAAAACGTCGGGGATAGTGCACAAAACGTCGGGGATAGGGCACAATAAGGGACCAGAGGTTGTATCAATGAATGCCACAAGACAACACCCCTAGACGAGTTTTTTAGTTTAGTAGAGGCTGCACCATTCACAAGGGAACCAGTGTACGAAAATTAAACAATTTCCATGACTCATAGCGACAGTGAAAGGCGATTCTGGACAGTTATGGCTTGATGTAGACAGCTCTTTGCACGATGGGAGCAAGTTGAATCTCGTCCAAGCACCCCTTATATGAATTCCTGTCACGGCGATCTTGTGCAACCTCCACTTCCGCTACATTTGAAAAGCTTGAAACAGGCGAATTTTCTTGCTTTCTTTGCCACCGATGTACTCCTCTGCATCGACACTTTCGCTTTTGAATCTAAAAAAGGTATCTCAAAAATATCGTAAACTGCGCCTTTGAAGCCAGTTTTGGGGTTTCTAGTTTCAGAAGAGTAACGGAAGTGATGGCCCAGAATAGAACAAAAAGAAGCTCGGAAATTGGCATTTCTAGGGAAATATGAGGCCACAAAAAAAGGTATTTGAGGGGTTGGACGAGAATGTGACGACAGAGATCGCATGGAAGGACGAGCTGTTCGAATGTGCGCGCCACCGTTTACAAATAGCTGCAATACGCTGCCTGCGTGCAAGGTGTGGGTCCCGGTGCTAATAATGCAACTTCCACAGCTCCTACAACGCCCAAGAACTCGCCCACCTGGGGCGATTTTAAGGCCCTCTACTCCCTACCTTGACCGTTTCTTGACCCAACAGCGTCCCTAAGGGTAACTTTGTGGGTCACAGGTTCATTGAAGAAAGTAATCTCTGAACAGCTACTATGCGTCAAACACTCAGAGCAGAACTTGACATATTGCAAAGCGAGATGAACATTTAGGATGGGAAGGGGATTTTCCATTTATAATTGGTCAAACG